GAGGAAAGTTAGGAAAAAAAAGTTATCAAATGTTAGAAATCTAAAAAACACCTTTTAGTTCAGCCACATTAGTTAGAATATTACAGGCAGAGCTAGCTAGGAATTTTTTGATGTAACTTCTTTCCTGTACATTTATCTGACTATTTGCAAAAAATGCATTATTTTTCATGAATTTTTCATTGTAAGAGTAGCTCAAGTCTATAGAAAAAATTCTAGTTCAAGTACTGGTGAGAAGAGAAGCAAAGACCCCCATATTTAAAAATAACCCATATCCTTCGTCAACAACATCTATCCCTGCCCAGAAACAGACAGAAAATGTCATAAGTCAACATATTCACAAAATTAATTCCTAATTACAGGTCAAGTGTTCATATAGTTAAATATCTGACTGCATGTCGTTCTTTAAAGAGCTTCATGATTACCTTCTGTATGGAATTTGTATGTCTTATTTAGAATACATCCAGAAAAAAATGTTGAATATTTCTTAGCTGACCGAGGCGGTTTCAGAATACCTTTAAATTCAAGTCTGCAATCTTAAGTGGACAAGAGCTTCCTTTGTTCCACTTGTCCCGTTGTTGCAAAATGCAGGCTGATGGAAACTGAAGAACATGGCTGTATCTTTTAAGTCAGTGACCTTGTAAATCTCAGGGAGAAAGACCTAAATTACAAATGAAAACAGCCTGTGGTTTTTATCAAAACCTTCAGCAGAAAAAGAGCATGTACTCAACATAGCTGTAGGTTACCTGAAGAATGGATCTGGAACTCTATATGTCCCCAGATGAATGTTGGAATTTATGTTCAGAATATTTAAAAAATTTCAACTGTCTCCTTATGTTTTTCTATCATGATTAACTGTGCTGCTGTAAATCTTGCTTAAATGTGTAGCTGGACAATTCCTAACGGTAGAAATAGAAAGGTCTTAGGTTTGCACAGCTACGCACAATTGAAGCCATAGAGGCCTAAGAATGGCAAAACATCTCTCACTGCCTTTTCTTCTAATTCTCCAGACGCACCAGAGGCTAGGGAAGCTGAGCAGGGTCTGGCCCTTAGCAGCAGAAGTTGGAACATGAAGAAGAACTGATTAAATCAGAACATTTTATAATACTGCCAAGTGTTCTCAGTGCATGAAAATGTGATACTTTTGCTTTTGTTTTTTTAATACACCTATTTCTTTTCATCTTTCCACATCCTCAGTAAAAGGCTTTGCTTAATCTTTTCTAAGTGCACAAATGTACAAAAGATTTTGCAGTAATGCCTGATGGACAGGATGTATCCTCCAATTAAACGCTACCCCTGTAGCCTTTTCCAGAATACACCTTTGGTGGCTGTGCTAACATATCTTCATACACCTTTTCAGTTTGCCCATCCTTGCTTGGAAAGGCTCTATGATGTTTTTAGTGCTTCAATTTTCCAGACTAAATAAAGGATTGTAAGATAAATCATTAGACTGTTGAAGAACTAGCATATCTCTTACAAAGAAGAAGCTTCTTCAGTGCTGCAAATCTATATGGGATACATCTATTTTAGATTTTTATTTGGCTATCACCATTAATGTTGTTCTTTCCACTGTCACATTCAATCTGCATGACATCAGCATGTCACCAATAGAACAGATGTCACTTTATTATGGTCCCTTTTGGTTTTTTTTTGCATTGTAATTAGTGATCTGATCTTTCCTGACGTGCTACAATATACTTGCAGCAATACAGGCACTCTGATGGGGACAGGGTGATAGAACCTAGAGTGACAGCCAACAGAGTGGCAATAATCTACTCAAAATTTTGAAACTGAAAAGAAAAATCTATCTTGCTCATCTAAGCTGCCTGAAGGATAAAAGGATGCCAAGCAGTCTTCTGTCTGAAAAACACAAGTTGTTGTATAGCAAAATGGTACTTGGACTTGTCAATGGCTACTTGGATTAGTAGCAGCAATAACGTTGTAATGATATTTAGGAGGTTGGTGCAATAACACTCTAATTTGTTCTAACACTGTTTCAATAATCAGTTTAAAACTGGTTAAAAACTATATATGTACATATTTAAATACTGGACCCGGGTCTTACAGTTCTGCTTCAATTTGGGTGTAAGATGGAGCTTCTTTTATAGTGCCTGACATTGTGGCACTTTCTAATAACATGGCTGCTGGTAGCAAGAGGCTCAAAATGCCATTTGTAGTTAAAACAGTCTATTCATGCAGAGAAGTCATTTTACCTTTTGACCTTTCTGCCAGATTGAACAAAATGAGTAAAGATGTATTTTAACAGTTCTTATATTTGAGTGAATTGTGAGTACAGTTGAAATTGCCACAGTCTCCTGTATTATGCACATTAATTTATTTGTAACACACTTGGCCAAACCATTCCATTTTAGATATTTACTTCTTTATGTTTAGATTTATAGTGAAGTTTAAAAATTAATGAAGTAGAAAATCAAAGCATGCTAGAGCATTTTAATCAGATATAAAGTACCACAACTGCAATGCTTCATGCAGGCCCAGGTTTTAAAATGATTTTTACGTGACAAACTAATTTGGTTCATCTGCTTAATTACTTTTTATGGCAAGGATTAATTTAACTGAAAGCTCAAGCGTAAGCCCATACTGAAATGCATTACTGAGGTAGGGCACAATTCCCAATATTTTCTCCTCGGGATAACAAGAAATCCTATGGAAGTTTAATGACCTAATAATAAAAAGAGCTTAGGGCCCTTTCAGAGGTGCTACATGTCTTCACTCCTTGATCTCTTTGGGAGCTGAACGTATCTGAAAGCTTACTGGACTGAGTCCTACCTACTGAAGCCTGACCTCATCCAAAAAAGGATTTGTTTTCTCTGGTACTTTCGAAAGCCTGGAGAATCTGTCAGAGCACTGTCTGGAAGCTGACATGTGTTAGCAAAAACAGTATCTCTGGGGCTGGGAAAACTGAGTAGGTTATGAGTTATCACAGAAATTGCAATTAAGTTAAGCATGACATTGATAGAAAGAAGAAGAGTAGCACATCACTCAGCAATTATTAAAAAGTCAGGCAAACGAGCAAAAGATCTGAAAAAGTTTAAAAAGGCTAATCTTAGATAACCAAAGAGAATACCAAAGGAATTAATGGTCAAATTCAGCGATTACTCTGAAAACTAGCAGCTGCCGAGCGGAGAGAACAGCCACACATGAGTAACTGCAGACCCAGACAATGCAAATGTAGAAAAGGGCAGAGGAACAGGTCACTGTGGTGCCGAGTACAACGGGACCCAAAGAGTAAGCACTGGGCAGGATATTGCTGCCGCAGCTTTCGCAGGCTCAGCCACCTACCAGGGCTGTGCTGACAAAGCAGGACGAGGTGAATTTGCTAATTCGTGGCAATCTGCAAGTTAAACTGATTCATGAGTGTCTCTATGAGAGTGACATAAGTATTTCGGATAAACAGGTAACACGGTGCTAACTGATGTGCTCTCTCTTTGTCCCTGCTAGGTGTACGTGATCTGTATCAGTAACCTGAACGTCTAGGTTAATGAAGTTATTACCTGCATTATGGCTATGTGAAAAAATATGAACACTGAGCTGATAAATTACCAAGTCACACTTGGAACTTTTGTTTTTTTTTTCACAGAAATCACGCAAGTAAAAAAATTAGACTGACATATTTTAGCCTATGCATGTGTATGCCCATGCTTTCAGGAATTCTACTTTCAAACAGCATGATTTGCGCATGGTGCTTCATTTACGAGGGCTACTACACAAGGAATCAAAATAGTTTCTCTATTTTTTATACATATATTCTGTACGTAATTCTGTGTCTACATACTCTGTGTATACACAAAGCCACCCACACAGGCGGAGCTTGCAGCCTCACCGTGCGACACAGAGGTGATCGGGAACCCACGACACTGAGACAAAGAACCCCAGGACCGCGCGTTCCCCCGCCACGGAACACCGGCCTCCTCCCGCCCTCCATCTCCAGAGGCCGAGCGCGCCCTGAGGACCCCGGCCCGC